ATGATGATTCAAACTTAAACGAAGAAAAACAGAGCCTAAAATCAATGAGATAAGCAAAGTCTATAGATAATTTCTTAGATAATTTTAGGACTTTTCATTTCAGAATTTTCTGGTGCGAAAAGAAGAAACTCAACTGTTAAAACCATGTAGTAGTTAAAAGAGATTTTCTATCATTTCTCAATACAAACATCGCAATTAGAGATTTTATTAATAACACTTTTTTAGTTCGATAGTGGAGCTTGTCTTCCTTTTCACGATCGAAATGCACTGAACTTAAAAAAATCACAAATCAAACCGCAAAAAAAATCAAAATTAAGCGTGAACAAATTTTAAGACTTTTTCCTGAAAAAAAATGAAAAAAAAAACACCAAGACCTATATAAGAGTCTTCACTTCGTTCATTACTCGTGAAAAGAGTCTTTGCAAGTATATGCATTTTAAAACTAAGTCTAGAAAAGATGAATTCTTCACCAAATCGGTACTCTTAACCTCTTGAGTCTCATCTACATAATAATGTAATCCACTGAGCTATATTTGTCCTCAGATTATACTGATTGTCATCTCAAAATCGGCCAAAAACCTCAGCACTCGCCTAATATTTATTTTAAGGACAAAAATAGGATTAACCGCGCAACCGCACAACCCCCCCCCCCATCCCAATTCGAAATAGTGCGAGAAAATATGGGTCGGTTTTTCATAAGCTAACTATGAGTTTAGCCTAGATTCGTTCAAATTAACCGTATTACTTAAAAAAACTGAATTAAAACATTAAATTAAGTAATTAACAGCATACAAATGCAATCCCATATAAAAAAGGTAAAAACCAAGTTATTTGCGCGTTTAAATGAAATGCATATTTTATACAGAATTATTTTCAGAACTAATACATGCTTGCGGAAGGCATCTATCTATGCGCGGATCTAGGAATTTCTCGAGGGGGAGGCGGATTTTCGAGAAAAAAAATTGAAAATGAAAATATTGTCGACCGACGTTTTTTTAGGTCGACCAAATTGATTTTCTGAGCTCCCCGAAATCACTACAAAGACCCGAATTTGACCAAATTTTTTTGCGCCGCTGACAAATTTTTGAAAAAAGGTCAAAAAGGCTTTTTAGGCACTTTTTGGAAAATTTCAACCAAAAAATCGCGTTTTTCGGCGCAAGCTCCCCCCTCTAAAATATTATATAGATTGGCGCCAAAGGCGCCTTTAGAAAAAATTTAAGGTCAGTCAGCCAAAAATGGATATATCAAAATCGCACTAAGGATTGACCCTTTAAGTCGGCAGGGGTCGAATCCCTAAGGCGGGGGGAGGGCGTCCGCCCCCTAACCCTAAATCCGCTACTAATTCTACGGTAGATCCCTCAGGGGGGCCATGTTAATTGTAACCTTTATGATGAGTGTAGTTTGGCTTCACTACATTGTATGTTACTTAAAATAATTGATGAGCTCCCGAAGGTACCAATTTGAGTAAAAAATACGGTAACTATTATAGATATTTTGATTTTCTTACCAACAACCAAACAAGATGAACAACACACAAAAAATCCAAAAAAAACTGTCTCGAGAAAATAGCATCTTCAGAAAACTTATTCTCTGAGACTACCGGATTTGAAATCAGACTTAACCTACGAACTAAGAGTGTTTTTTTAGATCACTGTAAGTATGCAAAAACGTACAATCTTTGCATGAAAGAAAGAACTTACTTCTCCAACTAAGTACACATGATAACAAGTATAGCCTGTCGCTGTGGAAGAAGCACAGAATAAGTCGATCATACTCATACCAAAAAAAAAGCTTTTCCATTTTTTCAAATTAGTGTTGTTTTTGTGTGCGTCGCTCTGATGAAAAAGTAGAAATTAGGCATAATTGACAGTCACAGTAAATTAAGCAAATCGGCGAACAGTTTCAGACGGAAAAAAAACGGAACAAACATTCAAAAAAAATTATAATTTTTTTTCGTTTTTTTTTTGGCAGAACTTTTTTAAAAATTTGAAATTTTTGTGCCGAAGATGACAAAAAATTCAGTTACTGAAGCTAAACTAAAGTTTCATGGTTCATCCTTCTAAAATAAGCCTGCTCGCTTGCTTTTTTGCGCTCAAATTTAAATTAAAACTCAAAAAATTCAAACTGGTTTTTCTCGAGACTGGGACAACTTTTTGAAATTTTTTGTCGCATGATTCAGGGCTGAAAGGGCTTAAATATGATATATTTCTCCATCCCTTAAAAATAATTATTTGTGATAATGCCTTTGGTTGAAAAACAAGATAAGCCTGCCCGTTCGCTTAACTCGCTCTAAAGTAGACGAAAAATCAAAAACTTCAGGCCGGATTTCTCGACGTATTTTTGTGTATTTTTCCCGATGTTTTTGCGTATAAAACAAAAAAATTAACACACCGAATATGAAGATCCTCCCCAGTTTCAATGGCCGGAACAACAACAAAATGATGAAGTGTATTGACGTTTTAAAATTACGCTTATAAGGTCGCTTTACAGAAAACAACATGTGGATGTTGATTTTTAAATAGGCTTACCCTTCTTGGCAAGTACTTTTTTCAGCTGGTCAATCCAATTGCAAAATTAATTACTTGAAAAAGTTGTGTAAAACTATCTTTGACGAGTCTGTGCAAAATGTAGCGCGGATGTTTAGTGCTGAGTGAAAAAATTCAGTTCATTTTAACTTAACGTAGCTAATCGAAATTTAAAAAAAAAACAGAGGGAAAGCAAGCACAATTTCTGTTCGATAGTGTAGTTTGCCCTCCTTTTAACAATGGAAAAGTACTGAACTTGAAACGAAATCAAACCTCAAAAAAATCAAAATTACGCGGGAACAAGTTTTAAGACTAATCCTAAAAAACCGTTTTGATCTTTCCCTGTGTAAAAAAAAATAAGAAAGACCTATATAAGGATCTTCACTACGTTAATTTGTCTTGAAAATTTACAAGGAGACGCAAAGCTCTACAAGCAGAAAATCCTACAAGCAGAAAAAGTCGCTCTACAAGCAGAAAAATCCATACATAGCAGGATAACATAGCCGACAAAAAGAGAAACGAAAGTCATAGAAAAACATGCTCTGCAAAAAAATTTACTAAATTTATCTTGATTTTGTCTTGAATAAAAATTCTTGTCATACAAAAATGCCAAAGTAAGAAAATTGAATGTTAAATTATCTAAACAAAACTTATAAAGCGGAAACAAAGCCAACAACTCTTGAGCAGTCACGCGTTGCTCCGAAAAAAACTCTTATTATTCGAAAAACCTGAAAACTCAAGTTCACCCACAAAACACTTAGCTAAAATTTTTCCCTCCTCAAACTTCTCAAAAAAAAAGGCTTCTAGTCGATGTTTCATAAGCCGAAGCCGACAAAAAGAGAAACGAAAGTCATAGAAAAACATGCTCTGCAAAAAAATTTACTAAATTTATCTTGATTTTGTCTTGAATAAAAATTCTTGTGATACAAAAATGCCAAAGTAAGAAAATTGAATGTTAAATTAGTATCTAAACAAAACTTATAAAGCGGAAACAAAGCCAACAACTCTTGAGCAGTCACGCGTTGCTCCGAAAAAAACTCTTATTATTCGAAAAACCTGAAAACTCAAGTTCACCCACAAAACACTTAGCTAAAATTTTTCCCTCCTCAAACTTCTCAAAAAAAGGCTTCTAGTCGATGTTTCATAAGCCGAAACCTTTTAAGCCGATTAAGAAAAAAAACTAAAAAAAAACTGATGTACTGAATTTGCAGTTGGTAAATTTGCAATAAACATAAAAAATACGAATAGAACTCAAATTCTGTTTGTTTCGTATTCTCTGCATCTTAAATCCTCTCGGTGTTTCTGTTTGTTGTCAACAAAAGCGATAACCAAAACTTCACTGACCCTGTGACCAAAGTTACTTATGGGAAAAAAGTCTAACTGATTGCAAAACACTTGCTTATCGCAAAGGTAAACACCACGTAAATAATTATTACGGTAAAATTGTTTTATTGAGAACACATTCGGCCAAACAGCTAACTTTTGTGAGGCAATTGCAATGAAAATTTAATCTGGCCATTGAAATAATTATCTAAATCTAAAGCATAGCAATTTTTTGAGGAACCCAAGCGTTGCATGCATAATTTTTCAGTTAGAAATAAAAAAAGAAAATACATTGCATCTTTGAATACAAGACTTTTACCGGTTTGATAATTTGAGCAAAACACTGAAAACAAACAGAACAATTATTGTACCGGTGTAGATATAGTTTCCGGATATTTCGTTTAAGATTGCGTTCTTTCAAAATTCTTTGCCTAGAGCAACCGTTCATTCGCTTTTTCAAGAAGGATCAAAACTCAATATAAGTATAACCTGTCAAACTCCTTTCTCATTAATGATTAATTAAAATGGAATGCTTTCCGAATGCTTTTAGTGTTTTTTTTTTGCACGGCGGAGATAGAGGCGCCCGCTATTGAAAAATCTAGGAACTGTTTACCTAAGATTAGTTGTCAAAAAGAGAACAAAAAGTTACTAAAATTAAAATTTGCCTGGAAAACATTAGGACCGCTGCTGCTAGGACATTTCACTTCCATAGGAACAAAATACATACTGGATTTTTTTCCGTTGTAAAACAGGCAAATTTTGCAGCTGACGCACGGCCCAAATATTTGCACGAATTAGTTACGATTATAAAGTATGCACAATAGTTGGCACAACGTTTGTTCATTCGAAACAGCTGATAATCATGACTGATATTATTCAGCTTTTCCAAAAAAAATAAGTTGTGATTGCATGTCATTCATCTTGATTACGAAAATTTTTTGATGAATTTTCTGAATTTTGGTTCAATATGAGTTTCAATAACTGTTTTTTTTTGACATTAGAAAGGCTTGGTAGGTTTGGTTTTGAATTGCTCACTTAATTCCAGCTGTTTTTCAAAGAAATGGAGAACTTTTCTTCATACTTTCTCTGAATGATTCTTTGGCTTTTCACTACCAATTGATATCGAAAACCTTCTTTTAACTTGAAAAGATGCGCTAAAAACAACTGAATTAGTAGCTGTTGAAAATTTAATGTTCTTCAAATAATCAAAAACAAAAGTCAAATTTTGACCAATATAAGCAAACCGCACTCAATATTTTCGAACTCAAATAGTACACCAACTATTTACAACTTGAATCATTCATTTATTCTATTCGCGAAAAAAACAATAAGCACACTTTTAAACGTGAATCAACAGCAATTTAGTTTAAAATGAGCTCAAATTGAGCATTTAATGTTTTATTATGAACTCGTAAAATCTCCAAATTCCTAGCTCTCCTTTGGAGGAAAATATTTGGAACATCGAAATTGGTACGTTAAAACGTTAAAATGAGTTCTCTTGATATGGGAAGGTCAATTCCGTCATTTTTCTCCAGCCAGCTGATCAATTTGAAGTTGACTTGAATCGGTGCGTGAACTAATTGTATTAATCTCCAAACTCGACTTCATTTGTGTCACCTTCAGCTCTCATTTGATTCGACTTTCTTGGAACTGTTACTTTGACTAGGATGATTCTTGGGAGGCTGGTAGTGAGCTTCGATCCAGGGGTCAGTCATGATATCAACCAGAGCAGATCTCTTCTTGGGCTCAAACTTAAGCATTCCACTAATAAATCGTCTCACATCCTCTTCAAATGTTTCTGGCCACTGAATATCAACCTAAAACAAAATTAGCTCCAATAGTCAAATTATTTCAATTGGATATTTAAGTAAAAAGTCCTCAATTGATGAACCAAGTCTGTCAAGCACCTCATAGAAAATTGTTTCATAGATTTGGATTATACAATAGTATCAACAAGTAGAAAACGGGAGAACGTTTGCAATATTTTATTTCATTAGTTTTCCCAAAACAATCAATGATTTTAACATTACACAGATAATCGATTTTTTTTGTACGCTCTCACTAATAAACAAGGAGCTGAGTGTTTTTTCACGCAAAGCTTCAAAGGCTATTTAATTTTTCAAGGATAACTGCGAACCCGTCAAAAATTCCCTTGATTTTATCTTCAAGGCATCAATTTGGACAGTTACTAATCTAAGCTACCTACTAAATGAACTAATTACCTTCTTGATTCGCTCGTAAGTGTCTTTAATAGTGGGCGTCTCAAATGGCGGTTTGCCATGCAGGAACTCGAAACACAACACTCCCATACTCCACACATCCACAGCTGCACTGTACTCGTGGCCGAGGAGCATCTCGGGCGACAGGTAGTCGGGCGTGCCGCAGAGTGTGTTGCGGGGCATGTCTGGCGAGTGCACGCTCCAGCCGAAGTCTGCCAGTCTGAGGTCGAACTTGCTGTCCAGCAGAAGGTTCTCTGGCTTCAGGTCTCGGTGGATCACGCCCAACTTTTCCAGGAACAACAGCGCACTGGCCAGTTGGTAGATGTACTACAAAACATTACTTCTTTTCCCACAAAAAATATAACTAGTTCCTCCACAAAAATCTAATATTAACGCTTTCCGTCACACTGAATTCTTTGCTGGTACTTAGTACTGTAAAAAGACAATACTTATTACCTGCGACTAGCTGCAACTCAATTGAACCGAGATAGTTATGCTAGTTATCTGTATGTGTCCTTTGATTATGTTCGGAAGCCAGTCGAAATTTTTTTAAAGGTCGAAAACGAAATCAAGTTGGGAATTTTTTTATGCGTTTGTGGTTTGTTTTTTATAAGTTTTTAAAAAATGTAGTTTGTGGGAAAATCTAAGCCGGTCTTTCAAACGAAACAATATAAGATATCCTATTTAGGTCAAAAACAAACCACATGAAACAAAAGAGTAACAAAGATAAATTTACCAAGTACCAAACTACTTTCAATTACAGCAAAAACTACCAAAGTCAAAAAATTAAGTCGATGATTTGGAGTAAGTCGACAAAAAATACGACTAAAACGATGGTCCGATAATTCGATAACCCAGAAAACCATAATAAAAAGAAACCCGGTCGTCTTTTAGATCCGACAGCATGCGCTTTACCACAAGACAAGAGGGAAGGTCTCCGTAAGTAACTGAGCTCTAACCATAAAGCAAGTTCAAACTACTACTTTGTAAAAAAACCGTGGTTTAATGGAAATCCAGATTACAAGTACACAAGTACAACTTGGTGAGATTGGACAGTTAACAGAAAAAAGTAAATATGCGATATAAGAGGGCTTAACGCTAAAAATTATGAATTTTGCATTAAGTTCCCAACCCAACTTGTCCTACTCAAATTGCATAACCACTTGTCGTTTGCCATTTTAACCCAGATGAGATCCATAATGGTATGCTCAATAAAGTTCAGTTCCCTAATGAAAATATCCAGTGGAAACCGCATTTCTTTATCAGTCCTAGTTTAGGAGAAAAGCATTACATAAATTTGGGAGAGCAGGAAACTCAATACGTCGTCATTTAATTGTGTGACATAATTTACGAATTTTCTTTTGAAAAACCCACTTCTTGACAAAAAAAAATCTCGCGCAAGCCACGGATCACCACCGATTTTCTCATCCCCGAGTCGAGTCTACTCACCTTGGCAGTCTGTTCCTGAGTGAACTTTCCCTGCTGTTTGAGATACTTGTACAACTCCCCCTTGCTGGCATACTCCAGCACTATGTAGATGCGCAGTTGGTCCTGGAAGTACGAGTAGAGACGCAGGATGTGGGGGTGTTTGAGATGTGACTGGACCTCTATCTCTCTCTTCACTTGACGAGTGATCCTCGAAGTCTCCAGGTCTTTCTTGAACAGCACCTGCGACAAGAATTAACTTCAATTTGATCACCAATATGCATCATAGTCATAAATGTATTTAGTTTTATAGCTTCTAACAGGTCTATCGCAATAATAAAAGAATGCTTTTTGCAAAAGCCAAATCAGAACTATCTGTTTCTCGTCTTTTTAGAAATGTTTTTTAAAACAAATTTCTTGTTCTTATCGATGAATTATATCCAGTTTTAAAAAAAAAATTATCTCATGAACAAATTATCATCTCGGCTCATTTCTTTATGCAGTTATACAGTTAAGATTTGTTTTCATGGAGGCCTCCTTGATTCATGGATGATTTGAACTGCTTGCACTCAAAAAATTAAACTTTCCTCGGCTGAAAAACACTCGAATGTTGTTTGAGGTCTCGAAACTCAAGAACCGTTTTGAGTTCATATTAGCTGTTCAAGCACGTTTTCAAGTTCAATACACTTGTTAGCTTTCAGGCAATCTTAATTTTTGTTTCATACGACTATTTTCAGAATTCTTCGAAGCTTTCGGATAGCATTTTCTTAGGAAAAATCAAATATCAATAATATAAACACGTACCTTAATTGCAACAATGAACTTGGATGTCTTCTCTCTCGCAACGTACACACAGCCGAATCTTCCTCTGCCGAGCGCAGTGCCGAACTCGAAGTCACTCAGCGACCAAACCTTTTTCTCTCCATCAGTCGTCGCCGAGGAAGAGCAAGGGTTGCTCAGATTTCGCTGCTGATTCTCCTGCCCTCCATGTCCTCCATCAGCAACCGCACAACTTGCAACAGCCTCGTTCTTAATAGTTTCGTCTGAGTTATTTTCGGCTTTGTGGACATTTCGCTCTGTGAGCACAGGAACTGAAACTTCATCGGTGTCCATCTTTTCCTCGTCCTTCCGTTCTTTCACGATCTCTACAGCAGTCGAATTTGACGTCGATCTTAACCTTTCTTTATGGCTTGCATGTGTATTACCACTATTCGTACGAACAACTTTCGGCTCTGGGCATTTAGCTGAGCTTGTTTTATTATCAATTTGATTCTTCTGATTAACTGCACTCGATGCAAAATTACTCGAATGTGATACTAGATATGGCTTCTTGGAAGTTGGAGCTCTAGCCGATTCCGCACGCTTCAAAGTGGGTTTCATAACATGAACATTTGAAGCTGCTTTTGTTTCCATGTGATTTCCACACCCTGCGTTGGCCGTTTTAGGTCTCAATTTAGACTCATGATTGGCATTTGAAGATGCTGGTACGTTTTCACGTGGTGCATGCATTGGTTTCGTCGTGCAACCAGAATTGACTCTACTGCTCAAACAGCCTTTAATGACTGGCTTGTGGTGTATTTTGTTCTCTTGGTCTCCTTCATTTCTATGATTTGAGGCGCTCGAAAACTTCAAAGCCCCGTTCGGATCTCTGCAAGGCATCGGTCGTTTCGTTGGCATCGAGTTGGATCGCTTCAGATGGACTTCTTTATTCCCAGAACCTGTCGTGGACGCTGTTGTTGATGATGGATTATTTGTCTTCGGTGAGATTCTACGCGTCGCAGAATTGTCGCGCTCTCGACTAGGTACCCGGACGTGGCTTGTAGCAACACCAGATTGAGAATAAGCATGTCGCGAATTTTCGCGAGCCGAGCTGGCCTTTGTAGCTTGGAGGAATCTCGGCACGCCACTGCTGGTTCCTGTGACTCCAGACATTTTCGATCTGAAAACAGGATAACTCAATCTTCATTCAATTTTGAGATTTTTGGACAACAATAAAACATCAAAAACAGGAAGCCACTGATTTTGAAAAACTAATGAACTCAGAAAAATCAGTTTAATGACCACAATTTGAAAATCCTTCTTTAAAGTTTTTCGTTGTCTTTCACGATAATTTAGGAAATTACGTGACAGGCCGTAATCGAAGGTCACGACTTAATTCAATACTGCATAGTGAGCTGCAAAAGATATGAACAGACAGATTAAAAAGATCAAATGACCGACTTCATTTTTACAAAGGACCGCAAAAGCGAGTTTTTCAGACAAACTATGTCTCAAGGTCACTTACGAAATCAATTTAGCATTCAATTGGTAAATTGCTCTTTATAATTATTTCTGTTCCAAATTTTTGCGACTCTCTGCACAGAGGCCAAGGTGAGTTTCACACCACTTGCGATACAAAACCTGAAAGCAGCCAAAACTAGATCTATCAAAGTTAAAAAGGCTAGCTTTGAAACAAAAACATGCCCTATCAAAAGAAAGTGAAATTAGTATCGGAAGATTAAATTAGTATCGGTATTTTTCACTCCTCGAACGATACAATGTGAGGCCACTAAGCAGCTATGATAAATGCCGAAACCTATCAAAAAAGAAAATGAAATTTCAACAAATAGTTTACAAAATTACAACTAATATATAAAACAAATTGCGAATAGGATAAAAATTTTAAAATGCTAACAAGATTTTTATATTTTGTTAACATTTTACCGCTGCATATAACATATATCTGTAGCGGTAAATTTGTAAATAAAGGCTTCCAAGAAATGAGTCCAGTCGAGTCCTGTGATCAAAGTTATTTGCGGGGAAAAAGAGTCTTATACCCGATTGCAATACCCTTGCTTATCGCAAGGGTAATAAGACAAGATTTAATAAATATTCAGCCAACTACAGATGGTTGTCAAGGTCAAAGCTACTCTTATCTTTCTATAATTAGTAAAAAGTGAGCAGCTCCAAAAACCATTAAAGTCTCGTCTTTTGTCCATATCTAACTTTTAGGAACAGCGACCAATAATATATGCTGATGAATGTCAGCTCTATGGTAAGTTTGTATCTGAATCGTCTTAAATAACGGCCATTTTTTCTCGACACTGGGACAACTTTTCGATATTCTGGAACACATTCACGAAATATGACCACTAGCTCTTTGAAATGATACTACAATTGAATCGTTACGAGCTTTCCTTGAGGTAACAAAAGTTTTGCAAAACAACACAACCTACACCTTGGTTTATTTCAGTCACTTTGTGACATTACCGAAATATTATTAAGAAAAGCCGATTGGTGCTAAAGTAGCGAATGAACGTCACACCACAAGCAATTTTTTTTAAACTTTAAACTCTTCGTCTTTTTCGCTGCTTTCTTCTCGGTTAGCACGATTAGATAAAATTTTGGCTCTACACATGCGACTTGTGATAAAAAAAAGGGGACTAAACGCATAACAATAAAAAAACATAACCAATTGGATAAATGACAATGTACGCAGGGGAACTGAAAAAAAAACTGATTGTTTTGAAAAATGCTAATTTTTTATTTTCAAAGTGAAAAAAATCGCTTTAAAATTCGAATTTCTAGAAAAAGTTATGATAGACATTATCATGATGAACAATCCAAATTGAGACAACTAGATCAGGTAAAAATGAATAATATAGATTATTATTTTATTGCGCTGGGAAATCTAACAATCAAAATCTTAGAAAGTCGTTCACGTAACTTTGCGCCATTTCCGCTTTCGTATTTGGAGAGCACACTTTGCGTTCCTTTTACGAAAAAAAACTGAATTGAACTTGGAAAGAAATCAAACAATTTTTCAGAAAAGAACCAATGAAAAACTGACTGATGTTTGTCACTTAAGATATCGAAGTAAAGATACCAAAAATATGAGTAAATCGTGTTACATAAATTTGATGAATCTGCCAACTTTTATGAGTTTTGTCTCAATAATTAGATTGATTGACCGTTAGAAATTTTGCGCAACCATCAGGAAGGAAAGAAAAACTTAAGCAGAAAAGTAAAATAACAATAGCGTTGCATGTTCGAAAAATGCACTCTAAAAGCATTAAGTGAAGCATTCATAGCTTGTCTCAATCAGATGTCAACTTTTTTGAGATCCAACAGCTTCGCAGCATTCGCGTTAATATTTTTTCCATAAGCGCTCAATATTTAGACTAAATTGGCAAAAAAAACAGCGAACAGACAGTTGAAAAAGAGTCAATGAACGCACGGAAACAGAAAAAAAAATAGAATTTTGTATTTTCAAAAAACTTCAACTTTCGAATTTCAAACAAATAAATATATGGCCTTAAAGCTCTTTGAGTTTGAATAGCAATTTATTTTTGGCACTTTTCTGATTAAATTAGCCCAATTTGAAAAACTGGATTTGGGGAAAAGTTTTCAATCCGCTGGGAAGTCTAAAAATTAAATTCCACTTTCATAACTAGAAATCGATCACATTTTTTCGCATCATTTCAGCTTTCATAATTGGAGAGTGCATTTTGCCTACCTCCTAACAAATGAACTTAAATTGAACTCAAAAATTGCATACATACTTAAGGGCATTCATATTGCATTCATAAGTATGAATAGTTCTTTTGTTATTAGAGCATTTTAAGACTTTTGAGCATTAAAATAACCGGAAAACAATCGTCACGACCTACATAAGAGTCGGAAATACGTTCATCGACTCTTAAAAACTCTATCAACAGATAATTTTTTTCGGTGGCAAAGCTAGAAAAAATATATCAACTTTTCAAGCTTATAGTTGATCACTTTTTTTGCGCAATTTGCATTGTCGATAATGGAGATTGTATTACGGCTTCCTAAGACCTACTTGATTTGAAATCAACATAGCCGACAGAAAGTTAGCAGTGTCAATAAAACCATAAAAACCAAAAAAAAGTAAGTTATTAGTGTAAAATTCCATTTTCATAAAAAGTTCACTTCAAAGCTTTTTGAAATCAATGAACTCATATACTTCACACTTCATTAAAATATGTGACCCAAATAGGACCCAATTAGAAAAATCAGGCTTGGAAAAATCTATTTGAGCGTGATTAAGTTTTAAGGTTTTCTTAAACCACACGAAATTTTAAGGTTATCTTCAATTCGATCACTAACACTTAAAAAGAAATCAAAATCAAACCACAAAAACTCAATTTTAAACTGCAATAAAACCACTTACAGTTCAAGAAAACAAAGTGATTTGGCAACTAAGCCGAAAAAACATTGACAGACAAACGAGAGGCAAAAAAATCAATTTCATATATACTGAAAAAAAGTCCGGCCGGTACTCGAACCCTAAACTTTAGAGTGCAAATGCCACCACGTTACAGGAGTGGGCAGGAATTTGGAAGTTGTTGAGGTTAAGTTAAAAACTAATGTCAATTTCTTACATATTTGTAAGAAAAGTTGTTTACGGCAAAACCAGTCTTGTTCCCTATTATAAGCATTGTTCTCGCAAGTGTAACAAGACCTATCATTCACCGTTAACAGTATGCAAACGCGTCGTATAATTATCTCCCAGGATTCGAGATAAAAACCTTCAATTTCATAAAAACCAGTAACCACCATTTTAATTAATAATTAGATTAAAGCCATTCAGAGGAAATTGAAGCTAGGTAAAAAAGGACAACAAATCAAGGTACAATCGAATATATATACATTCATAACAGCAACATCTTAGAAACACTATTCTGCGGGTGAAGTTTATTCTATCAATTCAGGCAGTATTTTAAATACAACATTTTACAATTGTAACATTAGTATCGCAAGTGTAATTATTATCAATTGCCAGCATTTGGCTCTAATGTTGACTCCCGAAAAAATAAATTCCAATTTAAGGAACAGTTCTTAACCAACGTATTGCGCTAACAAACCAAATATACCCAAAACCTGGTCCGGAATTCATACAAAAATTTTCATTATAAAACTCGGTACTTGCAGAAGTCAAGAACTGATCCTGTTTTTAAAGCATCAAAGTAGGAAAACTAAGTTCACAGAGGCTTTTGTTGCTCTTTCATGCGTTTCTTGTGAAGATGCATTTCCAAGTAGTCCCAGCCCCCGTACTTGATATTAACAAAAACCGTAACAGAAACTACAATAAGTGCGATGAGCTGGGCGGGCAAACTCACACTGAATACATACACAGCTAGTACTGAGAAAATAGACCACCAGATGAACAATGCGTAGTGAATACCACTCAATTGTGACACTAAATGATGCTCTACAAATCTGTCCCGCAGACTCGACAAAGCTGCCTCGTCCTTCCTCTTTTTCGCCGCGACACCGACGTTGTCGGCCGTTTCCTCCGAAGTTCCGTTTTGGTGTTTGTGGTCATTTTTAGATTTTTCATCAGAAGGACCTTCGTAGAGAGTTTTCAGCAACTCCTCCTTCTCTTCCCACAGTTTCTTCAGCCATTCCCCAATTTGTTCACTCGATTTTCCCTGTAAATTGCAAACTTATCATACATTGATTAGATTTTACACATGCCAGCTGCCGATTGGAAGAACTTTTTAGTACAAGTTTTTAAGAGATCCTTCATGTTTACTATTTTCATGTACATTCAACACAAAGGCGAAAGGGAGCTTCACACCGCTTGCTATACAACACAAACATAGCATGGCAAGCTAGCCGAACGAAAATGATACGAAAGCTTATAAACCGAAAATATCGCTTGGAAAAAAATGTCGAAAAACAAAAAGATCTTTCAAAAAGTTTCATACAATTATCTGGATTTGTCTGGAATATTTTCATTTTAAGAAAAATATGTCAATAAGGGCATTTATTGATTCGAGCTACAAAACCCTTTCAAATTCCAAATTTATGTCGTCCCCGAAATAACAGGTTCTACAATTTCTAGTGCGAAAAAAAACAGGTATTAATTGAGCAACTGCACAAACGAAATCAAATTTTTGCAGAGCAGAAATTTAAAAAACACTCTAATTTTGTTTTGCAGAAGTCTTTTTTCTTTGGTACGCTTAAGTAGATTATGAAAAACAGAGGCGGAACGGAAATTTGCACCACTAGCGATACAACACAAAGCACTGCAAGCTAGCATAGAGAAAATGAAACAGAAGCCACTAAGACGAAAAAAAATTGAAACAATTGGAGAAAACTACGATATCTTCAGAAAAATGTCTTAAATGATGTTTAATTTGACAAAAACGTCCACAAACACAAGCGTTTAAAAAGTATTTAGACACAATAAATGAGCGGCAACAAAAATCCGTAACCAAAACATCTAAACACTAGCACGCACAACATGTCGATAATTTTTGAAAGTGTTCCGGAAAATGTAAGATAGTTTGAGTTTAATTTAATCCAAATTATCATACGATTTAACTACTTTGTAAAACAAGAAAATTCCGTTATGCGGTAACTAAGCCGACAAAACAATCAGACAAACGATAGGCCAAAAAATTCTTTGAAACGGAAATTTTTGACTTGAAAAAAAAATAAACTTCTCCAACATAGCCAATCGAAGATTGGACACAGAGGCGAAGTTGGTCTTCGCATATTCTAGCGAAAATATGGCCGATAACGCTACTGAAAAAACTGAATGAGTAGAATTTCGAGTCTACAACAATTCTTAAGTGACGCACGCCAATTATGAGTCTACATAGATGCTAAGTGACGCCAGCCAATTATGACGCATTAGCAGTACCAGTCAATTTGAAAAAAAAAGAAATCTACCAACTTGCATGCTTCAATTTATAGAGCGGACGCATTTTAACTAGTATACGAAAAAGTTCATTCAAAACATCCGACCTTGCCCATGCTCGAACCCTTTTATTTTGTTGCGGGTCTCCTTCCCTAATTCTACGCTACTGATCCATGATACCTTGAAGCTATTATTTATATAATAGTCTGTGTTATTATCCTTAGCATTGGCTGTACTTAATAGCTGCATCAAAATGAACACTTTCAAAATGAACACTTTGTCGCAACAATTGCATCGCAACAATATTTGCGACTTACATTGGAAAAAAAGCTCATACTATAACACAAGCTTACGCTTGTGTAAAGAGAGTAATGAACGCCAGTAAACATTGCAAAAAAAACACTGACTTTCTTGAAAAAATCTCAACTTTCGAATTTCAAAGAAAAAAATAGATGCAATTTGAGCTCGTTAAATTTCTAGAACAATTATGATTGGCACTTTTTTGATAACAAGAACACAACTAGAGAAAAGTGGATAAATAGGTAAAATTTTTATTCCACTGGAAATTTTAAAATTAAAATCCACTTTCGAAACTAGAAATCGTTCATGTTTTTTTGTGCCATTTCCACGTTCGCAGTTGGAGAGTCCTATTTACATCACTTTCAGCAGATGAATTTCAGTTGAATTCAAAAAATGCATACATACCTAAGTGCATTCATAAATGCATCAATATGTATGAATGCACTCTGTAGTAATTAGAGACGTTTAACTGAAAAAAAACAGCACGACCTATATAAGAGTCTTCACTAGGTTCATTAGTCCTAAACGTACTGTCAGTAGTAGCCGCACACCGGTAATTAATCTAAATTTTCAAGTATTTGAGCATGACAGCACGTGAATGATGACTAGTGATTCACAATTGAAAGTGACTTCGCTACTTAAATTGTTAACCCGAGAAAAGTCTATATTCCAGTTCGCGTTTAAAAAAAATAATAAAAGTCGAACTAGTATCCTATCTTGTCTTGAAGTTCCCTTCTAGTATCCTTGAAGTCATTCTCTGGCGAAAATAATAATTAAGGTATTTAGCTCAACCATTTGATTTCATTTTGTTGAAAAAAAATGCATATGAAGGAGCATTTGAAACAAGATACCACAACTAAAAAGAAAAAGACATGAGCCGTTGTGAATTGATACGTCGAACAACGGAGAAGTGGATACGTCTCCGCCTCTCAATCAAAAGGCCGCGTGTTCGAGGCCCACCATTATCTGTGCTCAGTGCCTAAGAGTGAGGCAACATTACCCAGCACAGAAATATAACTTGCATAAGCTTATAGTTGATCACGTTTTTTTTGCGCAATTTGCATTTTCGATAATGGAGATTGTATTACGGCTTCCTAAGAGCTACTTGATTTGAAATCAACATAGCTGACAGAAAGTTGTGTCAATAAAACCATAAAACTTAAAAAAATAATACTAATAGTTATTAGTGTAAAATTCCATTTTCATAAAAAGTTCACTTCAAAGCTTTTTGAAATCAATGAACTCATATACTACACACTTCATTAAAATATGTGACCCAAATAGGACCCAATTAGAAAAATCAGGCTTCAAAAAATCTATTTGAGCGTGATTAAGTTTTAAGGTTTTCTTAAACCACACGAAATTTTAAGGTTGTCTTCAATTCGTTCACTAACACTTAACAAGACTACTCGTATCAGGGCGAAGCCCTGAATGTTCCGACTGCCTTTTAAGGTTTATGGAGCAGTAATAACATTAAAAAATTTAATGAAATAAAACGAAATGAAATTTTTTTTTTCTAAAATTTGAAATTTTTTTATGAAAATCATCCCCCCACACGCCATGTAAAGTACAAAATGATAGATTTCGCTCATTGTAACAAATCAATTATGACAAATAAGCTTCTTTCAACCAATTTGGAACGATTTATAAGACGGATTAAATCTCGCTTACGCGTTAATAGCGCGAAATATATCGCGCGTCAATTGTCCAAAATTGGCCAAAATGGCAATCTTTAAACCCCCGTAACTTTACGAAAAAAGATCACAGGTAAGATATCTTTTCATATTTGAGCTCAAGACAACAATACCTTTCGAATGATATTTAAAAATTCCGTCAAAAATGGCTAGTTAAAAAGTCGAAATTTGTCTGAAGAAAAAAAAAACCACCCCGAGCACAAATATTCCGTTACTTTCGTATCGAAAGTCGGAACAAAAAGAAATCAAAATCAAACCACAAAAACTTAATTTTAAACTGCAATAAAACCACTTACAGTTCAAGAAAACAAAGTGATTTGGCAACTAAGCCGAAAAAACATTGACAGACAAACGAGAGGCAAAAAATCAATTTCATATATATTGAAAAAAAGTCCGGCCGGTACTCGAACCCCCGACTTTAGAGTGCAAATGCCACCACGTTACAGGAGTGGGCAGGAATTTGGAAGTTGCTGAGGTTAAGTTAAAAACTAATGTCAATTTCTTACATATTTGTAAGAAAAGTTGTTTACGGGAAAACAAGTCTTGTTCCCTATTATAAGCATTGTTCTCGCAAGTGTAACATAACAAGACCTATCATTCACAGTTAGCAGAATGCAAACGCGTCGTATAATTATCTGCCAGGATTCGAGATAAAAACCTTCAATTTCATAAAAACCAGTAACCACCATTTTAATTAATAATTAGATTAAAGCCATTCAGAGGAAATTGAAGCTAGGTAAAAAAGGACAACAAATCAAGGTACAATCGAATATATATACATTCATAACAGCAACATCTTAGAAACACTATTCTGCGGGTGAAGTTTATTCTATCAATTCAGGCAGTATTTTAAATACAACATTTTACAATTGTAACATTAGTATCGCAAGTGTAATTATTATCAATTGCCAGCATTTGGCTCTAATGTTGACTCCCGAAAAAATAAATTCCAATTTAAGGAACAGTTCTTAACCAACGTATTGCGCTAACAAACCAAATATACCCAAAACCTGGTCCGGAATTCATACAAAAATTTTCATTATAAAACTCGGTACTTGCAGAAGTCAAGAACTGATCCTGTTTTTAAAGCATCAAAGTAGGAAAACTAAGTTCACAGAGGCTTTTGTTGCTCTTTCATGCGTTTCTTGTGAAGATGCATTTCCAAGTAGTCCCAGTCCCCGTACTTGATATTAACAAAAACCGTAACAGAAACTACAATAAGTGCGATGAGCTGGGCGGGCAAACTCACACTGAATACATACACAGCTAGTACTGAGAAAATAGACCACCAGATGAACAATGCGTAGTGAATACCACTCAATTGTGACACTAGATTATGCTCTACAAATCTGTCCCGCAGACTCGACAAAGCTGCCTCGTCCGTCCTCTTTTTCGCCGCGACACCGACGTTGTCGGCCGTTTCCTCCGAAGTTCCGTTTTGGTGTTTGTGGTCATTTATAGACTTTTCATCAGAAGGACCTTCGTAGAGAGTTTTCAGCAACTCCTCCTTCTCTTCCCACAGTTTCTTCAGCCATTCCCCAATTTGTTCACTCGATTTTCCCTGTAAATTGCAAACTTATCATACATTGATTAGATTTTACACATGCCAGCTGCCGATTGGAAGAACTTTTTAGTACAAGTTTTTAAGAGATCCTTCATGTTTACTATTTTCATGTACATTCAACACAAAGACGAAAGGGAGCTTCACACCACTTGCTATTCAACACAAACATAGCATGGCAAGCTAGCCGAACGCAAATGATACGAAAACTTATAAATCGAAAATATCGCTTGGAAAAAATGTCGAAAAACAAAAAGATCTTTCAAAAAGTTTCATACAATTATCTGGATTTGTCTGGAATATTTTCATTTTAAGAAAAATATGTCAATAAGGGCATTTATTGATTCGAGCTACAAAACCCTTTCAAATTCCAAATTTATGTCGTCCCCGAAATAACAGGTTCTACAATTTCTAGTGCGAAAAAAAACAGGTATTAATTGAGCAACAATGCACAAACGAAATCAAATTTTTGCAGAGCAGAAATTTAAAAAACACTCTAATTTTGTTTTGCAGAAGTCTTTTTTCTTTGGTACGCTTAAGTAGATTATGAAAAACAGAGGCGGAACGGAAATTTGCACCACTAGCGATACAACACAAAGCACTGCAAGCTAGCATAGAGAAAATGAAACAGAAGCCACTAAGACGAAAAAAAATTGAAACAATTGGAGAAAACTACGATATCTTCAGAAAAATGTCTTAAATGATGTTTAATTTGACAAAAACGTCCACAAACACAAACACAAGCGTTTAAAAAGTATTTAGACACAATAAATGAGCGGCAACAAAAATCCGTAACCAAAACATCTAAACACTAGCACGCACAACATGTCGATAATTTTTGAAAGTGTTCCGGAAAATGTAAGATAGTTTGAGTTTAATTTAATCCAAATTATCATACGATTTAACTACTTTGTAAAACAAGAAAATTCCGTTATGCGGTAACTAAGCCGACAAAACAATCAGACAAACGATAGGCCAAAAAATTCTTTGAAACGGAAATTTTTGACTTGAAAAAAAAATAAACTTCTCCAACATAGCCAATCGAAGATTGGACACAGAGGCGAAGTTGGTCTTCGCATATTCTAGCGAAAATATGGCCGATAACGCTACTGAAAAAACTGAATGAGTAGAATTTCGAGTCTACAACAATTCTTAAGTGACGCACGCCAATTATGAGTCTACATAGATGCTAAGTGACGCCAGCCAATTATGACGCATTAGCAGTACCAGTCAATTTGAAAAAAGAAATCTACCAACTTGCATGCCTCAATTTATAGAGCGGACGCATTTTAACTAGTATACGAAAAAGTTCATTCAAAACATCCGACCTTGCCCATGCTCGAACCCTTTTATTTTGTTGCGGGTCTCCTTCCCTAATTCTACGCTACTGATCCATGATACCTTGAAGCTATTATTTATATAATAGTCTGTGTTATTATCCTTAGCATTGGCTGTACTTAATAGCTGCATCAAAATGAACACTTTCAAAATGAACACTTTGTCGCAACAATTGCATCGCAACAATATTTGCGACTTACATTGGAAAAAAAAGCTCATACTATAACACAAGCTTACGCTTGTGTAAAGAGAGTAATGAACGCCAGTAAACATAGCAAAAAAACACTGACTTTCTTGAAAAAATCTCAACTTTCGAATTTCAAAGAAAAAAATAGATGCAATTTAAGCTCGTTAAATTTCTAGAACAATTATGATTGGCACTTTTTTGATAACAAGAACACAACTAGAGAAAAGTGGATAAATAGGTAAAATTTTTATTCCACTGGAAATCTTAAAATTAAATTCCACTTTCGAAACTAGAAATCGTTCACGTTTTTTTGCGCCATTTCCACGTTCGCAGTTGGAGAGTCCTATTTACATCACTTTCAGCAGATGAATTTCAGTTGAATTCAAAAAATGCATACATACCTAAGTGCATTCATAAATGCATCAATATGTATGAATGCACTCTGTAGTAATTAGAGACGTTTAACTGAAAAAAAAACAGCACGACCTATATAAGAGTCTTCACTAGGTTCATTAGTCCTAAACGTACTGTCAGTAGTAGCCGCACACCGGTAATTAATCTAAATTTTCAAGTATTTGAGCATGACAGCACGTGAATGATGACTAGTGATTCACAATTGAAAGTGACTTCGCTACTTAAATTGTTAACCCGAGAAAAGTCTATATTCCAGTTCGCGTTTAAAAAAAAACAATAAAAGTCGAACTAGTATCCTATCTTGTCTTGAAGTTCCCTTCTAGTATCCTTGAAGTCATTCTCTGGCGAAAATAATAATTAAGGTATTTAGCTCAACCATTTGATTTCATTTTGTTGAAAAAAAATGCATATGAAGGAGCATTTGAAACAAGATACCACAACTAAAAAGAAAAAGACATGAGCCGTTGTGAATTGATACGTCGAACAACGGAGAAGTGGATACGTCTCCGCCTCTCAATCAAAAGGCCGCGTGTTCGAGGCCCACCATTATCTGTGCTCAGTGCTTAAGGGTGAGGCAACATAACCCAGCACAGAAATATAACTTGCATGTAATTCAAAACTGGATGTAATTCTTAATCAGAGGCACAACATCGTTTCTCCCAAAAAAAGAGCTGAGAAACTCGTGATCTGCCACATCTCTCTAGTGGATTGATTGTCAAAGTAGCGTGAAAGGCTCATTAAACTGGCCTGTTCTAAGCCGTCAAACTGCGGCTTGCTTTTTAAAGACTTACTGAAGTCAGCAAACTCAACAAATCATTGCTCACCTCTGAATCATCGTCGCCTACTCCTGGTATGTCCTCCAGTTCGATGATGTCCACAAAGTACCACACCTCTTTGGGCACTTTTCCCAACAGAACATAGAGTTCATTTTCCGGAATCAAGTCCGGATAGTAAGCTGTTATGTTCACCACTCGCTCAAGCGACTTTCCTGAAAAGCAATAGGTATGATTCAGCCCTTAATTACAGAACTACCAATTCATAGTCCAGATCCAAAACTACACTACATTCGTGACCCTACATTAATTTTTAGTAGTGGACACGTTCACCTTAATTTACAAACCCAAAAAATAATGCAATAATGCTAACTGTGACTAACACTGACCAGCAATGAGTTGTTGCATGAGATGAACTGTGCCTGTGATTCTGGGGTGGAGCACGTAGTCATAGGCAGGCAGGTTGTTCTTTCTCGCAAACGAGTGGCTGGACAACAGCGAGTTCGGCTCATAGTCCGTGCCCTCTAGAACACATTCAACATCCATACTTTAAGTCACTATCCAAACCTTAAATAAAAAACATCGCCCACAGGAAAATGTCAAAGTGTAAAGAAACGAGCCGAAAAAATTCATGAAAATTGAAAATTAAATCTTTGATAAATATTCGACTTTCCAATTTCTCAGAAAATTTTTATCAGGTTAAAGCTTTTTGAATTTCAAGAAAAAAACGATTGACACTTTTTTATTAAAAAAAATTATTTATGAAAACTGTGTGGGTAAATTTTTATTCCGCTAGGAAATCTAAGAATTATAATTAACTTTTGAAACTAGAAGTCGTTCACGTTTTCTTGCACCAGTTTCGCATTCGTAATTGGAGAGCGCAAATTACCTAATTTTTAGCAGATGATTTTGAATATAAATACAATAATATACGAAAATCCACTTCTGTAGCTCTTAAATAATATTATTAATTAAATCACGTTCTTTAACACAATTGACAGATACAATAGTTTTATAAGCACGGGAAAAACTTATCGAGCGCCACATGAGCCGACAAAAACTGGGTAGAAATAGTTGAACCAAAAACATCACATGATATTTTGAGCTACAAAAATCTGAACTCAAAGATTTACCCCTTCTGAAACGCACAAAAGTATAAAAATCTATTTTTGTCCTTAAAACGACGTAATATAACGTGATAGAGCTAATAATACATTTGCCTAAACCATTTGAGCCTTCTCAGTAAAAAAGGTGTAGAAGAAAAACAAAATTTGAGGTTGCAAAATTCAAATTATAGTAACCATAGAAACCAATTTGCGAATTATTTTTACCTACACCATTTAAGCCGCATCTAAACCTTATCAGCAAAAAATAACATATCAAAATAAAACAAAATTTGAGGTAGCAAAATTACAAATTATAGGAACCAATCAAAACCTTTCATTTCTAACAAAACTCATTCAACCAGAAGAAAACTGCATGAACTGAGTAAGCCGACAAAAAATAAGCAGAAAAATGATAGTCGAACATATTATCTTTGCCATCTCAAGCATGGACAATACCTCCACACTAAAACGTCAAAATGGCACCTAAAACTTAATATACTATCAAAGTAAGGTAAGTCAATGATTCATTGATTTTGTTTTAACCCGAAAAAAGTCAAGAATCCGAAATAATATAACAGTTAACATCAAAGTTTTTGCTTATCGAATGATTCCTAGTCCTAAATCTTCCTAATCACTCATTTGATAAACTACTGATTTGGCAAATCATCTATCAAGGACTCGTAACGCTAATGAAAAAATTCCTGGTAAAATCAATCAACTTAAAAAACTTAAATCAATACTTCTTGGTAAAATAAACAAACTAAAACAGAAAACTTCCCCGTAACTGAAATTAACTTAAACCATATGTACCAAAAATTGAACATTTCAGAATGCCGATTTGTTGGAGGACAAAATTGTTTGGTTCGATAAAAAACTTTCATGATAGAAGAGATTAAAAATTTTCAGACGAGATTATCTCATCCGGGAATATACACAGAGGCGAAGTTGCACGTCGCATACACAAGCAAAAATATGACCGATAACGCTACTGGGAAAAACTGAATGAATAAAAGTTAGAGTCTACAAAATTTCTTAATTGACGCACGCCAATTATGAGCCTACATAGTTGCTAAGTGACGCAAGCCAATTATGACGCATTAGCAGTACCAGTCAATTTGAAAAAAAAGGATAAATCTACCAACTAACATGCCTCAAATTTATAGAGCAGACGCATTTTAACTAGTATACGAAAAATTTCTCGTAAAACATCCGACCCTGCCCAGGTTCGAACCCTCTTATTTTCTTGCTGCCTGTGTTAATATCCTTAGCATAGGCTGCACTTAATAGCTGGATCAAAATGAACACTTTCAAAATGAACACATTTAGTCGCAACAATTGCATCGCAACAATATTTGCGACTTAGATCGGGAAAAAAAGAAAGTTCATACTAGAACACAAGCTATGCTTGTGTAATGAGATTCCCATATATGAGACCTAAAGTCCGTCAACAAATAATGCCGAAACAAGCTGCCGTTTTGGTATTACTCATTGTGAAGTCTGAGAGAACGTCATGTGACCAAATGACCAGCTTTCAAACTGATGGAAGAGTACAAAAAAGTCGCATGATAATTATAAAATTTTCTCAAGGACGGTTTGTTGCACTGATACTTTAATATAAGTCAACACATTGAACGCATGCTGAAGGCTTTACAGCCTGTTAGAAAGCAGTGTAAGAGAGCTTTCTTTAGTCTTATCCAGGTAACCTTTTGTCAGTAAATTCAACTAAACTGTCAAAAATTTCAAAATAGAAAATGTCAATGCATGATGGAAGAGTACATAAATTTCCTGTCGAATTTATCTCACCCGGGAATATGAGAATGGAGTGCGGGGCTCCGTGGTCTATGACCATAGAAGAATAAGTGTCCAGGTGTTCCTTGTCTCTTTCCCAGTTTCTCTCCAGGAACAGGAAGCGAGACATCTGCATGGACCAGCCTACAACACACACATCCTCACGTATCAACAATCATCATTGAATCAGCTAGCTGCTATTTCAGTCACAGGACAATTGTAACGAAAACTTGGAAGGAACAAAATGCTTTTCACGTTTCTGCCGTTTTCTCTCCAACTACTAGATTCACAATTGAAATTTCGACATATCATGGATGAAACTGTTAATTAGACAACAACATAATAAAAAGCCATAAAAAGTCATTTCAAGACGTCATTTGGCTAATTATTTAAGAAGTAAAAAGTACTTTGAAAATTTGAAATTAAAAGTATTCGTTGGAAAGCTAAGGATCTAATCTAGGCCCTTATTTAGGTTTCAAACCAGATAAAAAACACCTGAAAGTTTTGTTAAGCTTTCAGACAGACGTTGACTGAAAATTCAGCTAAATATTTGGTAAAATGCCAAAATTAGAGTTAACTTTTATTTCATAGTTGAGTAGTTTTTTGTATTACTTTCCAAGTGATTTGAAACCTATGTAAATCTATAGCTTAGACCCTAAGCTTTCCAACGAATAACTTTGCGTCGAAAATTTCAACTACTTCCGCTGTTTACGGGGATTTTTTGGCACTCAGAACACTTCTCTGACTCCCTCTTATTAAATAGCCAGACAACACCGTGATAAGAAAAATTATTAGTTTTTATTCGGCTATGAAAGATTTTCATCCATCATAAGTCGAAATTTCAACCCTGAATATCTAATTGTTGGAGCGACAATGACAGTAATGAGAAAAAATTGTCGTTTATTTTATTGCCTAAAAACTAAATTTTGCAACTTCTATGTCCCGTTACTGTACATAAAATACATATGGTACCAGTTGAAAACAAAATTGTCAAAATGTAGCAAAAAATCTAACTTTATATGATTTCAAATTTAAAATAAGTCAACAAGTAGAAATCATAAAACATAACATGCAAGTATTTGGATTTTTCGATATCATTATGTTCGCTAACTCTCCATGAACCTAACAAAATCCAAACTGGGAATTGGATGATCCTTTCTATGATAATTAAATGACAATTATACTTGACTTCTAACTAACCGTATCCGGGTATTTTGCTGAGGGAGGACTTGAGCACTATTTTGAACATCTGGGCCATTCTGAATGCGTTCGTGGACTTGAGGAAGGCCAGCCAGATGTAGTACCAGTCCAGTCTTGTCCTGTGGTTCATGATGAACAGGTTCCAACCTGTCTCTGGAACCCCTGCTGCGTACATGTCCAGAGCCTCAGGCGATCCGAACACTCGCAACTTCGTGCCGAAGAAGACCTCTTCAAAGATTATTTTGAAATTTAAAAAAAGTACGAACAGAAAAGAATAGATGAATATATTAATTTTCGCTGTGATAAATACAAACAGTAAGGTCATTTAAGCTCTACGCGTAGGAAATTTATTTTTCTACATGCTTTGTATCTTTTACATACTTAACTTAATAGTACCTTATATGCTCGAGCAAATTCATTAAAAAAACATGAGCAACAAATTGAAGATCAACTTACGATTCAATATCTGAAACACAAAAATTCAATTAGTTATTAGACTTTAAAAAAAGATGGCGTTTTTGTAGTTGAACTAACCGGAGGCAAAACCAGCCACGTGGAGATCATGAAGTTTGTGATTGTCTCGTACGTATGAAGACAGAAAGGTATCAGAATGGCAAAAGGCGCCAACATGTAAATGTAGCCCAGAGTTGCCGAAATAGTCATGACATAACACGAGAACAACGCGAGGAAAATCCGAACTGGCGCCGAGTAGATTTTGAAGTTCGAGTTTGAATTATTGCCAGATTGTGATTTTTCCATTTTTCTTCAAATATCCAAGATAAACAAAATGCAGTGTTTATTTCGAAATGGAATCAAACAGAGCAGTGAAGAATTTTAAATTCTTAACTGTTTTCCACAAAAGGTGAAAATTAATCCCGATATCGAATTGATCAGCTGATGATCTTGACCTTCATTCGAACAAAATATAAAATTTGTTGACTCAAGATGCAAATAAGGTTCGAAATTCTGTTCAAATTGTAGTTAACTTTTGGCTCAAAAGAGGGGCTTACCGCTAACCATTATAATAATTACTTAGTATTTAGTGACAGTATTGTAGCAGTTTTCTGTCGTCACAATGACAACAACACTTCTCAACGCGGCGATCTTGGTTTCTTTGTAGTATGACAAACATGAATTAAGAATTTGACATCTATTTCAGAGCGCTAGTTTCCACAAATTCAATTTGGTTCCCTAAACGTTTTTTTTTTCAATTTTTTTTTCAAGCCCTCAGAATCGCCATGTGACCTGAAAAAATTCACACTTTATAAACATTAAATTCTCGTATGTGAAAAGTGTCCTTTAGAAGATTTGCAAAATATATAAATAATCAGGAACATATTTAAGACGGCATGTGAAAGAACCAAAACTATACTTTTCCACACATCCTCAGGAGTTCGAGCCTCTCCCAGCCCAAAGGGTCCCACTATTCAATTGATACTATTTTAAAAACATACATAGTTGTTTGCATTCAATCAACGCAGAAAAGGTTCGCGTCTCCGTCGACTAAATTTTTCACGTCACGTCTATTGTCTACATATATCAATTGTAAAAAGAGGGGTGCAGCAGGCTCCGAGAAAAAACAATTTCGGCGAAATAGTTCGATGGCTAGTGGTTAGGGAGAGTGGGGTTAATCTTGCCCTCGACCCTGGGTGGAATCCTTCCCGCTGATGACTAATGAAAAAATTCTTAATCACAGAGACGAAGCTCACTACTTGCAGATGGACCGACCAATCGAAAAGAAAACTTAAATATTTCCTCACATTTGTCAAATTTGCAAAAGTATTCGAAGCTTTGGAACTGAAATATCTTCATCTTTAAAAATTTTACAGAGATGAAAACCGTAGAATATATTGAAAAAATTGTCCTAAATTTGTTTTGATTTTGCCTTGAATAAAAATTCCAGTCATAAAAATATGCAAAAACTGAATGTTAAATAAGCATCGAAACAAAACTTACACACAGGCGAAGCTTCGCTTCGCAAACACTAGCGAGAACACGACAAAAAGCAGCTCTAAAAAGTGCATTAAGAGAAAATAGAAATAAACCTCGAATTAGCAAAAAATCGGCTAGGTCTAGGATTTGATTGTCGACCCACTGCAATCAAGATAATTTGAGTCTTACGCACTAACCAACGACAAACACCAGTCACGAGTAAAGCAGCTACATATGCTGATCAATAGCTAATGCAATTCAGCAAAAGTGTATACCAAATACAAATAGAGCCAATTTTGCAAGTAGAAATTTGGAATATAACAAACTGAAGGCTTTGCATGCAACAAATCGCAAAATATAAAGCCACATTCTGTATAAATTATGCATTTCGAAAAACTGCGAGATATATTTAGCTAGAAAATTTCTGAAATTGAGTTTTTAGGATTGTTATGTTGTTTGAAACAAAGAACCTTTTTCGGTTCATTTGATGAAATAAAAATGCATTAACTGGGTTAACTTATTACTATTCAAATTTCAAAGCACATGCTATCAAAAAGCTGTAAAAGTGCCCCAAAAAAGGCACCAACATTTGCGACTTAGGTTAGAGAAAATGAAGGTTCTTAATGCTACACTAAACTGACGCTAGTGTAAAAAAGATGGTTCCTAAAAATACACTAAGCTGACGCTATTTTAATAAAGCGGTAACTAAGCCGAAAACTCTCGAGCAGGTACGCGTTGCTCCGAAAAAAAGTTTGCTCCTCAGCCGTCTCAAAAAGGCCTCTGAGCCGAAATATTAAAATCCAAAACCTTTAAAGCCGAATAAGGAGAATAAAATGAAAGCAAAAACTCATATATTGAAATAGGAGTTGGTACATTTGCAACCAACAATAAAAAAAAATGTCGGATAGAAGGGGCATTTAAAAGCCGAGATGCTCAAAAATGATCTGTTTCCCATCTTTCTGGTCGTTGATGAAATTAGGGCTGACCAAAATTTTAGTCATCCTGTGAACAAAATTATTTACTAAGTTATTTACGGGAAAACAAGTCTGATAACCGATTGCAATACCCTTGCTAATCGCAGGGTATTTATTTCTGATAAGAAAGAATTGCTCTACGTTATATCAAAATCATTCAAAACAATTTTAAATAAAAGAATCATTCAAAATCATCGCGAGAGAACGAATTTCTTCTGGAATTATTCTGACTTCTCCCAAACGAATCAGATCGATTCATGAATTTGCGACCAAAGCCCGAGTTCCAGTCGTTTTGTCTTCTCTGTTTTTGAATGGCTTTCTCTCCTCGCTTCTGTTTTTCTATTTCTTCTACCTCTCTTCTTTTTTCAGCATATTGATGAACAACACTATTTGCACCATTGATGTGAAGATCAACCTTCTCAGCTAAGACGAGTCGCGCCAACTTTCGGTTTAATTCAAGTACTCGGAAGTTCTGCACTTTAACGATATTGTTCGTCGGAACATGTCTCAGCTCAACACAATTAGCAGTCTAAAACATAGCCAACAGAAAGTTCGAAAAGAGCCAATGAACGCAAGGAAACAAAAATAAACTGACTTATTTTGAAAAAAAACTTTAATTTGAATTTCAAGACACTTTCGAAACTAGAAGTTGATCACGTTTTTGGCGACATTTCCGCTTTCGTAATTGGAGAGCACAATTTTCCTAACTTTTATCAGATGAATTGATTTGAACTCAAAAAGTGCATATATACCTATTTGAATTCATAAATGCATTGATATGTTTGTGAGTGTATGAATGCATATAAGTTGTTATTAGAGCATTTCAGTAAAAAAAGAACGAACAAAAACTAACGTTTTATACAACAAGACTAATATGACTGACCACGAAAAATATATACATTAAAATCAAAACAATTATAAATCAGTATGAAATTTTACAAAAACCAAGTATTTCTTTAAAATAATTTGATTTATTTCCGAGCAATTGCCCCGTTCTAGTATAATCGCCGTTTTGAAATTTAAGCAGCTAATTGTGAAATTTCCACCAGCAACTCAAAAGATTAGAAGTCAAAACATAGCCAACAGACAGTTGAAAAAGAGTCAATGAACGCAAGTAAAGAAAAACTTTCGACTTTCCAAGAAAAAATAGATGGCCTTTAGCTCTATGAATTTCTGAAATAATTTACGACCGGCACTTTTCTGATAAAATTAACCCAATTTGGGAAAACTGATTGATGGGTAAAATTTTTATTTCGTTGGGAAATCTGATAATTAAATCCCACTTTCGAAACTAGAAGTCGATCACGTTTTTCGTGACCTTTAAAACTTTTGGAGTTCGATAGTGTAGTTTTCCTTCCTGCTAACAAAGGAATTAAACTGAACGGAAAAAGAAATCAGACGTCAAATCGCGGAAAAGAAAATTTGAGCCTGAAGAAATTTTACAAATTTTCCTGAAAAAAATGATCGAGACCTATAAGATGAGAGTCTGAACTACGTTCATCGACTCTTAATCAAAATTTTTAAATTTTTTCGTTTAACACTTTTGTCTAAAAGCCACCAATATCTCCTAAAAAAATTTCGTTCATGCTTTTCCTTTTCTGCTTACAGTTTTATTGGTAGGGGCCAAATTGTCTTCAACTTCATCTGCTAAAAACGTTTCTTCCAAATCTTCTTCGAATATTTCCACTTCAAGTGGAGAATGAACATACCTATCCATGAACCATTTAGGAGGCTGACGCTTGTTCAACATATCAAGCACACTTTCAATACTATTAGGCTCTGTTTGAAAATCTGGCGCAGTTGAACAAAATCTCAGAGCAATTTGGGTCAGCCGTTCAATTTCACAGCTTCGCTTGAATCCAAATTTTGAAAACTTGGGATTCAAAAGCGGCGCAAAGCGTCTTAGTAGGGATACCATTTAACCTGAAATCAATAAATAACTTACTATTTATGTTTTATAAGTTCCAAAAATGACTTACTTTGTTAATTTTTTGACCGCCAGGTCCAGATCCTGTGATAAACTTTTCCTGAAGTTCTTTTTCATTTAAGGGTTTCAGCTCGTAAGGACGTTCGAATAAGTCGAATTTGCTACCCGAAAGGCATCGTTTCACGATAGGAAAAGTGAGTTCACAGAATCCACAATACTGTGTTACTCTGTTACCCAGGAAAAAACTTCTTATGATGGTCATGATTCCATTTGGATCAATCTGATACATGCAAGGATATATTGTGCCATACTAACACTGAAAAAAAAAATAAGAGCTTTGTCAGAATTAAACTTACAGCGTTAATGAACAAATAGCGAAAAATATGAAAAACTGAGGCTGGAACAAACAAG